CTATTGCTTCTCACCTTCTACAAGTTTCTTGAAGCAATCAAACAGATTTTTATGCTTTCAGTCTAACCTTTCTCACTAATGCTCATCAGATATTTGGTAATATTTCTTTCTATTATCATTCAGCATTAATTTGCTGCCCCTTGTGTGTTTATTTTTTCTAGTTCGGTCATGACAAAAATTCTGAAAATATATATTCAAGACTGAGATGAAGGAAAATTTTTGTATAGTAAATAAATTAATCACTTTTGTTTCTTCTCATTAACGTCTGGTAAGTCGGGAAAATAAATGCCTATTTTTGAAGAGCTTGGAACATGTGGATTGTTGTTTACTTTTTATGTATTTCTGAAGCAGCGAATGAACTTTTTAAGCAGGTAACTTTTGTATATTGTTTGATACCATATTGAAAGACGCAAGTGCTCTATTAAAATTAATGGTGCTCCTTTAACCGTAACTTTTCTCAAAGTTGCTGCCATTTTAATAAAGTTCAAGTTGAACTATTGATATTATCTTTTTACTTGATTTTTTGTGCTATATATCCCGTATCTAATTAGTTAATACTAATGTTTAATTTAAGAAAAGCAAATTTTCATACTGATATGGTTTAATGTACTAACATTATGGTTCAGCCTTGGACATATATTTTTGAGGCAGATTTTTTAAAGTAATATTGCTGCAAAATTATATTTGAGTAATATCGCTGCAATATTATAGCAGCTAAATATTGTTAGAAACACTGTTTTTATATTTATAAAAGGATTTGATAATGTAAAAATAATTGTGTGAATTAAAATAGATTATATGAAGGAAATTAATCTGTGATTAATTATTTGTTTCTAATGCCCCCGAAATACATTTGAGAGCAATTAAAATTATCCCCTCGAAGTTTCATTAGACCATCAAACTGATTTTGATATTTTTCATATCACCTTTTTGACAAGTAGGTCGACAAATAGGTATTATATATAAATTTCTATTTCTCTCCTTCGCTTCAATAATGATTTACAACCCAAATTATGTATACTTCGACTTCCTTTTTTTCCCTAAAGATTCTAAAAATATGTATTGAACATGGTCGTGATAGAACACATTTCTTTTCAATCAAACTGTATGAAACACAGAGTTGTAAAATTTTTTAAATAAATGAAGTAAGCATATATACAATCTCAATAAAGAGAATGTAAAGATGAAATTTTATATTTACACATTTTAGTTTTTGAAAAATGTCAAGCGCTAGTATGAAAACGTTATTTAGATTATATTATTAATGTTTAAAAGATTTATGATCTCTAAAATTTTATTCTTTTTCAAGAAAATTGCTTCATATCATTTTCTTTTTTCGAAAAAAATTGTTCTCAAACAAAACGAATTTTTTGAAATGCTAAGAATTTATTTAATTTTTTTACTCCTTACATAAAGTGAGAAAAGAACAATTTTCAGATTTAAATGAAATCGCATGCTAAATTTGCAGAAACTCTTTTGTTTGTTTCATTTACAAAAACTTTGGACTTTACAAAACAGCATTTATAACACTCGGTTATTTACTGTAACTTTTATCTGTATCTACTTGTAAAATCAGGAGATTATATGTACTCAAGATACCAATAGAAGCTAAGAGAAATTATTTCGCAAACTGAAGCATGCCCCAAGCAGTTAGTACAGGCTCCTCTCTAGCATTCAGAAAGTTTAATAGTCTTTTCCCGTCAACTTTGGTATCATTTGATAAACTGAGATGGAAAGCTATTCTCTTTACTTTTTTCTCAAAGTTTCATCCTCTCTGCTTACATTTGCCGCGGAGTAAGCTACGATGAAAAATCCAATGCACGACAGTGTTGTAAATATTAGTGTCTGCAAATTTTTATAATTTAATGTCATATAATTTTTCCATGTACAAATCCATTTAGGGCAAATTTGTGGCTAAATTTATTTACTAAAAAATTTCTTTGTTAATTTATACAATTTTTCCGTGTGCAAATCCATTTCCACTATTGTATTAATATATTTTGCTTTGGCTATATTGATACCATATTAGAAAGCACTCTTTTTTGCGGATATATACGTGTGGGTTGATGAGAAGATTATATCGTTTTTTTTTCCATATTTTTAAAAAAAATGTCCTTTTTTCGGATTTTTCCCCCGGTTTTTTGCTATTTTTATTATTATTTTTCTTTTTCTTCCCCTTTTCTCAGCGTTCTGTAAACTTTCTCTTGTTTTACCTACATTTTGAACTTATTTCATGAGTTCTATTTACTTGCAGCTTATGCGCATACAATATATAAAAATATAAATTAAAAGCATATATAAATAAAACTTATTGTTTATCTTAATTTTCTTCGTGTTTTTTGCATTTATTTATTTTGTGAATAACTTTTTTTTTATAGAATATTGCAGACTATTTCCATTTTTAAAAAGTATTCACTTTAATGTTTTCAAGCAAATCCAAATAATTTCAATTTATAAATAAATTAGTAATTTTTTGAAATTTCTTGAGCTATAACTTTTTTAAAATCACATTTTATTTATCTTGAATACGTTAAAAGTTGAAAAGTAGAATACTTTTATGCAGTTTATATTTANTATATATATATATATATATCCCTTTGGCAATCTATCAGGTGTGCACATTTTTTTTCTTTGACAGGAATTTTTAAAATATATATTAATCGCAGTCACTCTAGATACTCTGTATTATATACCAAGAACAGAAAATTATCTAAGCAATTCATATTAAGTAACTAACATAAGCAGTCATAAGCTAGCTTAAACCACAGCAACACATGAAGTCTTGTTTCCGATGTGATAAATGACCAACATAATGAGAAGAAAAATATTGGGAGGGAATAAAACAATGCATGAAAATTGTGAAGCAATGCATAAAAACAAATGAAAACAAGTGAAACAAAACATTAAAAAAAACATATGAAAATATGTGATATTTAGTAAAATTTTAACTACTATAAATGAATAAGTATTGTGCATTTCTTATATAGACATGTTTTTTTCTTAGTTTTAATTAAAATTGTGTAATAATAAATGAAAACAAAGCAAAGACAGCACAGTAATTACAAATTTCATTATTAAATTACAGTATATTTTCATATTTCATTATCCATAGATTGATACATAGGAGTACTAGCAACTACTCAATGCAGCTTATATGCCTGATACCGAACAAACACGTCTGATACCGGAGCTGCTTTTGCGAGGTCGCTGAGCACTGTTGGCATATCTTAAAATAGCCACTTCATCTGGAGGGATAGTATGTGACACACATGGTGCAACTGCGCAGAGTGCATCGTTTGTAGTCGGTGGAATGATAAGTGGACTACCGATTTCAGGAACAGAAGTCCTTTGCCATCGCTGCACTGCAATATATACCATCATTTTAATAACACTGATTCAGAAGTTTACTTTCAACAATCATAATAATTATATGTATCCTTACTAACAACTGTATCGTACATAGTTAGAGATTTACGTCACAAAAGTAACAGTCAGAGATTGGACGATAGTCAAAATTTACAGAAAAGAGACGAAACAAAATGTGCAGAAACATGGGGGGGGGAGGAATTTAATAAAGATTAATGAAAAGAGAATAAGATATTTTTAAAATATTCAACAAAAAAATTTTAACATTAAAAAGCGGGAAAATAAAATAATTATGATTAAAATAATAATTATATAATTATTAGATTATCTCATATATATTTTTTACTTCATATGTCCTATTTCCGTTTTGATTTCTTGGTTGCTCCTCATACCATTATATTAATATATTTTACTTTGCCTATATTAGTACAATATTGGAACTCTTTGTGGATATAATAGTATTACCTGAGGACGAGATTATATCTTTTGTTCATACACTGGTCGATAAAATTAAGAGATGGAAGACATTTTTCCAAATATCTCAAAAAATACTGAATATAAATAAATGAAATTTGGTATGGATATAGCTTATTCCATGATAATAAAGTATGCAAAACAAAAATGAAAGTTCCATTCACTGGCAAAACCTATTGCCAATAAATCCAATGTAGTCTGAATTTAAGGATAAAAGATGACAATAAAAGTTAGGCTTGTACAGTGTGTGTAATGCCTCTAGTATGGTGTATGGTCACCCCTGACAGACAGACAGCATGTACAACGAGTTACAACAGCATACTGTTAAGAAGGGAGTTAAGGAGGACTTGTGGAAGACCCTCCCATTCTTCCACCAGAGCAATTTTTAATTCCAGAATGGTTCTGGGGGGAGGTTGGCGCATCGCAATAGCTCTCCCAAGAGCATCCCAAGCATGTTCAATAGGATTCAAGACAGGGAATTTGGACCGTCCAGAAATAGTGTCATAGAAATGTGCGTCATAGTAGAATATAGCGTCATAGAAATGTGCGAAAATGCTTTCCATCTCTTAATTTTGTCCACCAGTGTATTATTTTCCGGCTTTTTAATTTATTTTCAATAAAAATTTTTAAATATTTCAAAAATATTTTATTTTAATAAATTTTCTTTAATTTTCATTAATCTTGATCAGATTTTTCTATGTTTTGCCTGTAATTTTAGCTTATTTTATGAGTTCGAATTACTTGAAAGCTTTTGCGCAGTTAATAAAACTTATTATTATTTTTCTTAATTTTCTTCATCATTTTATCTTTTCTTTTGATCATTTTTGCCTCTATTGTGCTATATAGATACAAGATAAAAAAAAATTAACTATTTTTTATGTTATTTTTTTTATCTAAAATCTCCTCCTTCTTAATTTATTATTCAAAATTAAATGCGTTCTCACATTTTATTATTCCTTTTATCATCCGTTTTTGGATTTTATTTTTAGACTGAAATATGCAAGAATTAACATTTTAAGTTTTCCCTTTAACCGAACCGTGAGGGTCGAAGAAATCCCTCGACCTAAGTTTCAAACCAATTAAAAAATTGTATAAGTCTGTTTTTTATTTTGCGCACTGTACTTTCTCAAACATTAAAATATAAATATAAATTTACTTACTTGTCTCAATAGCACAAATAAGTCGAGAGTCGTGTTCATATTCTGAAAAATATTTAAATTTTATTAGGGATGTTCTAAATGCATATCTAAAAACTCATTTTTATAAAAAAAAAGTTTTTAGAAAAAATAAAGTATATGATAATTTAGCGTAATATTAATAACTTTCTGATCTTGGTTTTGTAGACGACTTATGCTTACTGAGCAACACCCTTCAAGGCATGCAAACAAACATAAACATCTTAAATGTAGAAATAAAGAAAATGGAGCTTATTATCAACCAAAATGAAATTAAAATTTTGAAAGTTAATCCTGAACAATTAAATGTCATATTCTGAGAGAATAATAAATTAAAGGAGGTAAGCAGATCTTACGTATCTTGGAAGTATAACGAACGATAAAGGTGGAAGTGGTTGAGATATACTAAATAGATTAAACAAAGTCCGAAGCAGTTACGCTATTCTTAACAAATTCTGGAAAGATAAAAAACAACAAATGCTACAAAAATTAAAAGTTTCAATAGCATTTTTAAATCTGTTCTACTAATTGGATCTGAGATACGGCACTACAATGAAAATATGTAACATGAAAAAAACATGATTAAGAGCTGTTTAAAAAGAATCTTGAATATCAAGTGATTCCATAAAACTTGTAACGCAGAAATCCTTAGAAAAGCAAAACAGAAACAGATTGGTCTGGAAATTTAAAAACGTAAAATGAAAGGTCATGTTCTACGTAAACCTGAACAATTTAAAGTAAAACAAGTATGTGGTTGGAACCCTCAGAGCAACAGAAAAAGAGAAAGATCTATAGTTTGTCTACGGTAAGAACTTCCCCCGCTACAAAGTCTGAGGCCATCTTCTGTATTAAAACAAGAATAGCGCATTTCAGGGAGAGTAGCTTCTCTTCACTCTAGGGCTAACACAATAAATTAACGGAAGAAAAATATTCTCTTTCTCTCTTGCCAACCCCAGTCGAAACCTGTCCTGAACAATGACTCCATACCCCTACTTGAAATAGTTATACCTCGTTACCATAGTTCACCACCACGGGTCCAGACGAATGGCTGGTGTAGTTCTTACTTAAGACAATCTATAAAAATACTTGGGGCAGGACGATTGTAAACGAGTTGAAAACAGGGTCAAAAAATCTGACCACAATTAGAGTGAGATAGAAAGCTATGTTAAAAGCCCTTTGCTCCAATTCGGAGTGAAGAGGAATAAGTATAGAGACGAAAAACTCACTGAAAATTGTAAAGCTTGGTACTATGCCAAAACGAGTGATATTTGCTCGAAATATAAAGGTTAGGTACATTAATTACTAATAATGAACAAAATGTCTCAATATTCCAAAAAAAACTATATGTTTTTTTTTTTAAACTATATATTTAGCTCAATTAATACGCTTGCTACTGTACAGTTTTAATGAAATCAGAAGCAAGTTGTAATCAAACCAGCAGATATGCTGGTTTTTGCAAAGTTTATTTAATTCCATTCATTCCATATGTAAATACTGTCTGAAGGATGTGTTAATATTGTCTGAAGCATGTGTAATAAGCTTCCCTCCTGGTAACAGGAGAGCCCTCCTCAACTGGTGCAGGCATCATCAATTTTGAGCAAAGGCACAGTCGCTAAAGTTCTTTTCAATGATAATTGAATTAAGCATAAAAAAAGATTTTGGATCCGTTCCTATGTCAAGAGAACTAGGGACCCGATTACATCTCTCCATCATCATGGAAGTCACGATGCAAACGTATGTGATGTTGGACGGCCCTACAGACTTGACTTCACTAAGGTATAGGGATGAGATGCCATAACAGTGAACAAAATTACTCAGAAGCATCATCGATTCTTAGTTCAATTTTATGAATGAAAACACGCGATCACATAAGGTTAAAAACTATTAAATAAATTCCTGAAAGTTGAAATAATCAGAGGATGCACTGGTCTTCCATATATCTAGATCTAAATCACATAGAAAATTTCTAGAAAGAGCAGTTGTAGCTCACCATCCACTCTCGAAAAACCTTCCGTTGAAATAATCAGAGGATGAACTGGCCTGCAAAGTGGTTGTTTTATCTGACTCCCAAAGCCGCAATTCAGGCGATCAGTTCGGCTGGTCTGGCTGCAACAAATGAAATCACCCAGTGTCGGCAACATCTACTAGAACTGTGTCAAAAACAGAAACGTGTGATTCTTCAGTGGATGCCGGGCCACTGCGGCCTCTTTGGAAACGAGCAAGAAGATGCCTTGGCAAAAAAAGGGCACGAGGCTTCTTCAATCGAGTTCCTCTCCCCTTTCGTTTCATTCCGTGAAGCTTTATTTAAGGCAAACTTTAAAAGGGCAATTCAGTGAACAAATAAATGACAGAGTAAAATCTAAGCGCTGGAAAGCTGAAGATCTTTTGAGGATTCCTGGCAGTCCTCGTCAGCACGCTGTAGCCCAATTCCGTCTACTAACCGGACATGATAGCCTTGCAGATCACCGTCACCGAATTCGGATCTTCTCAAGTCCTTACTGCTCCCTCTGTAACTCTTATATCCCTATGGATAGACACCACCTCCACCACTGTGCAGTCCTTAAGGGCGACTCCGAGACAGGGCTTTATTGGAAGGCCAAAGAACTTATGAGGCAATGACTTCGATCAATTTAATGTTGTGTCATCTTTACTTCTGTTCCTGTTCATTTATTTTTATTTTTTCCCTGCCATTAGAAATTTTTAAAAAAAATGGACTGGCCTTCCCGATATCTAGATCTGAATCACATAGAAAATTTCTAGGATTTTCAAGAAAGGCAGTTGTAGCTCACCATCCACTCTTGGAAAACCTCTCAAGGCTAAAACCTACCCATGATGGAAAGGATTTTTTGTTCCAAGACATCATATTTATCGCCCAAAATATTTGTGAACCTCAGAAAGAGCATGAGAGTTCATAGAGGTCTCTGCATTGTCGTCAGAAGGGTTAATAACCAATTTAAAACCCTTCACAAGTGCAATTTTGATGCAACATTTTTGGATTTTGTTGCTATGATGCCCATTATTCGTGATCTTGAGTACCATGACTTATTTGTTATAATTGTATTTCTCATACTATTATATATTTACCTATATAATGTGACTTGATTCTCATCAACATTTCTTGAGCTAGCTACGAACATGTGCTTGTTCCTTAAATTTTAACTATGAGTACATAATAGCCGAAGAGGGTGAGTCTTCCTTTACTCAGCCGACTGATCTGGTGTTCGACTCTATACGTGGACGTAAATGAAGAGTTCTCATATAGTAAACTCAATTGTGGAACCTGGAACATGCAACTCTCATTGTAACGAAGGCGGCAACACCACAACTCCAGTCACCACCATCCGACTCACTGATTGACAAAATCTAACATTATCCATCTATCACAACAGATGATTAAACTAGATCAATCAACTAGGCCACATTTCACTGTTTGTTAGATGTGACTTGAACACACACACAAATTAAGAAAAGAATTCAAAATTTTAAAAGCAATTAAAAATAATAATACTTTCTATGGAAAAACGCGCAAAGCAGCAGTGAATCCGAAAGGAATTGAAACAAGAGAAACAATGAAATATGAAGAAAATGGATAAATATGACAACTGAAGCTGAGGTCTTCAGGGGGTACCAGCTCCGGAAGTCGTGAAAGCGAAACCTTTTCTGTCAAGAGAGCACGACAAAAAGTTCAAAATTGTTCTCTCTGTACCCCCAAAGGTTTTCCCCTAAGTCCAGGAAAAGAATATAATACATAATATGAAATATAAAATACTTAGGTCTCAGGTAAAATAGCGAGAAACTTTAATGGGAAAGTTTTCTGAATTAAAAAATTTTCCTTTTTCCAAAACTGCTTCTGGTATAAATTAGACACATTGTTTTCTAAAAACGTTTTTGAACCCTTTTAAGAAATAATTAGAAAAGAGCTATTTATACTTACGCAACCAATCATAGACAAATCTTTCAAAATACACTGCAAGAAAGATAGTTAATTAATAGCTTAAGTCATAATATTTTAACTGTCTATTTAAAAGTTAATTAAAAGTTTTAGAAACGTAAGATATGCAATGCATTTCAAAATGTAATCATGTACTTCTCTAAAAACTACTCCTAAAAACTGATTAAAACATGATATCTAAAACTAAAAAAACAACACTTAAAATTGAATCCCTCATTTTGAGAGAGTAATAAGACACAAAAGTAAATTTTTTTTTCAAAAACGTTGTGACACAAGTTTATGGTTTAGTTCCGAGATTGCTTTCTCCATTTTTGCTATCAATTCAATTTTAAAAATTCGTGTCTATGTACTAATTTAATTTACATATTTTTTCACTTTACTATAGAAAAGTACAGAAAAAAGTTGCTAGCGAAAGCAGCTGTAAAATTTACCGAATCAGTGTTTTGAACAATGCTTCAAATATAACAACTGAATGACCCACCTAGCCAACTACTGCAATGCCCAGAATTCGAAGACATACTTTAAAAATACAAAGCAAAACTGACAATAGATGATCGTTTGATTATCAACGAAAATTCGACTCTAATTTCTCAAGAACTCATATGAGTTTTACTACTATCATGCTCAATAATATGAAACCCATTCAACTTATTCCAAATATGATTTTTCGACAGGTAAGCAATAATCTAACTAAGTGTATTTTCGTTTTTTAAAAATTAAAATAACATTAACTCCTTTTTCTTAGAAGAAAAACAAGGACTCTCAAACATGAATTACGAACAATAAAAACTACTCTTTTCTCCTCTTACAATTGCCCTGTGGAATGCAAAGAATATTCTTTCAAAATTTGCGGAATTTTTTGATTTCATATCAAGATGCAATCCAGACATTATATCATTTATAGAAACACTCATCAAACCAAGCAATAAAATTAAGATTTCTAATTATAACACTTGTAAATGTGATCGAATTATCCGCACTGATGGTGGTTGTGGCATTTTCATTTACACAAAATACTGTTTTAAAAATCAACACTAAGGAAAATCGAGATCAAACTTCAATTATTATTCAATTTAACATTAGAAACCTCAAGTCATGATCTACTTACTTCTTAGCAAAAATTATTTCAAATGTCCTTTCACTTCAAACATTGACACTATTGCATTTGGAGATTTTAATGCTAAGAATTCTATTTGAGGCTTTGGAATAAATAAAACACTCGAAAATCAACCTCGCTAAATAAAAAAAAATGTATGCACCAGAGCAACTAATATGTACCCGCTTTTCTGGCCGATACTCCTTTGACATCCTTGACGTTATGATTTCAAATCTTTCATCACCTTTTGCAATAGAGACAAACAACGAGCTTTACAGCGTTCCTAACCTTTTGCGAATCATTATTAACATTGAATATAAAGAAAGCAAAATCTTTAGAAGAAAGACAGACTAGTTTCTTTTCACCAATACTCCAAAATTTTAACTCTGATTAAGATAATATTTCCATTAATGAAGACGCCAATTCTACAATAGAAAACCTAGAAATATTAAATCCTACAAAAGTGGAACAATAAAAGCTTGACTAAACTGAACTCTTTCCGACCAACATGAGTCCCACAGTGGACTGATCTTAAAGAGACGGTTCCTAGTAGAACACCGAAGTCACGTTCATTGGTTGCGGTCAGTAAGCGAGGTGACAGCTTTGATCAGCCTGCGTAAGGACTGAAGGCGCGTAGTATCGGTCCTTGTTAAACTGTTCTACCGTGAAGTGCTCGGCTTCNGGCCCAGAATTCAAAGACATTCTTTAAAAATACAAAGCAAAACTTACAATAGATGATCGTTTGATTATCAACGAAAATTCCACTATAATTTCTCAAGATCTCATATGAGTTTTACTAGTATCATGCACAATAATATGAAACCCATTCAACTTATTCCAAATATGCTTTTTCGACAGGTAAGCAATAATCTAACTAAGTGTATTTTCGTTTTTTAAAAATTAAAATAACATTAACTCCTTTTTCTTAGAATAAAAACAAGGACTCTCAAACATGAATTACGAACAATAAAAACTATTCTTTTCTCCTCTTACAGTTGCCTTGTGGAATGCAAAGAATATTCTTTCCAAATTTGCAGAATTTCTTGATTTCATAGCAAGATGCAATCCAGACATTATATCATTTATAGAAACACTCATCAAACCAAGCAATATACTTAAGGTTTCTAATTATAACACTTGTAAATGTGATCGAATTATCCGAACTGATGGTGGATCATTTTCAAAGATGCTTCTGAGACTGTCACCGATAGCCCATAGTGTAGCTCTAGTGCGAAATAAATAAAGTACCTACCTACCAAAATGAATAATTACAAACTTTCTAATCATATCAGGAAACTCATGAAAGTTAAAAATAAAATTAAAAAAAGATATAAATATACCTTTAGTCCTGACCTCAAGAAATAGCTTAAATCACCTTAACAGAGAAATCAGCAACATGAGCACGACATATCCCAATGATCTTTGGAATGAAAATCTCAATAGCCTACACACTGAAAATAATTGAACTTGAATCTTGAAACAAAAATACAGTCAACACTTATATAAAAAATAGATACTTTCCCAATAATTAGAAGCAATCAGAAATCATGCTTTTCTCTTGCAATCAGAAATCATGCTAGAAAATGGCTTCCTCTCATGAAAACTACCACTCCATCAGTCTCCTACCAGTGCTATCAAAAATCTTGAACAATTATTCAGCGACGATTTAATGAGTATCTGCAAAACATACTAAAGCAATAATACGAATTTTGTAAGAATCTTTCAGCTACAAAGCAGTTTGTTAGCATACTGGAATATCAGTAAAGCCAAATTCAAACATGAAATTTCCTAATGCTCATGCTCGACGCTACTAAGGCGTTAGATATAGCTTACAAAAAGGACAAACTGCTTAATTGCATTTAATTTAACTGACGATCTCCTTTTAATTTTGAATTCTTATCTCTCCAATCGCCAATTCAGGATGAAGATTAATAATAGCTACTCATCATATAGAATTATAAGAGTCGGTGAATCACAGAAAACTATTCTTGGACCGCTACTTAACATTCGATGTACTTCTGATTTTCCCATTAGTTATGAAAATCCATATGAATTCACTTTTATTGGTGAAACGCAGTTATCACTTAATCAATGAGACACACGCATGCAGTAAATCAACTACAAAAGAAAATTACAGACGCTGAAGTGGAAGACCAGATTACATCCTGACAAATATTAACTCTTAGCTTTTAATTGTTAAGAGAAAGGACTTGAAATTCCAGATATCAAGATGTATAATCAAATTATTAAACTTTCTATACAGCACCAAATACTTAGGAATTACAATTACTTCAAACGTCCATACCAAACATAGTATTAAAAATGCAAATCGAGCCTAATGGGACTTAGACTCAATACTCAACTCCAAGTTACAACTTGATTTCACATATATATGTAATTATATATGGATTATATATATAATGGCAACGCGTCCTAAAACTTTATGATCTTACCCTAACTGGTATATCTAAGAAATAAATTCTTCACTGTAAGAAAAATTCTTAAATGTCTTGTTGGCACAACAAAATGCATAAACTACAATGGCATTTGATCCAATTTGAAAATTAACGATATTAACTCATTCATCGAAAAACTAACTCCTAAATTTTATGAAAAAGCCAGGGAAGGCACAACCAGTGACTTCAATCAACTAAATGATATCGAATTGATCGAGGATAGTACGAAACACAATCATAACTGCTTTTTTCCTAAGGCAAATCTAGCGATGTATTTATTAAACTTTATTAACTATATCTTTTGCCTTTGATTAAACTTTTTCGAATTTATTTTTACTAATTTCAATTTTCTTTCATTTACACACCTAGTTTTACTCCACTATAATTTATCTTTAAAGCAATATGCGAACAACCCCTTGTGTAGCTGTCAAGGGATCAATCAAGGGACAACTATAGAATGATGACCAAATCCAGAAACGAGTGGTAATCACCACAACGACTAGGCCATCACATTAGCAGAAGTATAGACTTTTCTTTTGGCTTAATTGCTATGATATAACGTTAAATTATATTTTAAGTTATTGTGACTTTTAATTGTTTTGGTTTAATTAATTTTATTTAATGTTAACTTTTGATTTTTGTAATATATTTAGTCAAGTCTTTTTGGACTTTTGTTTTAACTTAATTTATTTATAAATATTGTATTTATATTTTATAAGTACTTTATTTCCTACTTATGCTTATTTTATTGTATTTTGTTATTCGATTTATGTCTAGACTCCACGATATTACTTCAATTTTGTACTTATCAACTTACTAGCGCCTGGCACAACATATTGTTTATTACATATCTATAATTATCAATGAATCAGTTAACAACTCTTCACTGAGATAACGGAAACAGCAACATTCTCCATTCCCTTTTCTTTGAATCAGTCCTATTCATTTTTTTGCAATGCTTTTGCGCTTTAATTTATAACTAGAAAATTTTTTGCAGATTGATAGTAATCTATATAGGCAAAATGAATAATAATTTTAAAAAATGCACAGTGAGCAAAAAAAAAAGGAATCCTGAAAAACTTTTATATCTTCACATTCTAGGACTCAGTCTTAAAGGTTAAAGGAGATGACCTCAAATGTGCAAATTTATTAGTGCAGACCATATTTCAAGTTACGGAATCAGACTCAAAAACGCACTTTCTCTGAATAAACGAAATTATTTTTCGACGAAATAAGATTTTAGACCCCCAAAATGTAGGAGGTAGCTGCAATCTAGGAAATGTGGTTCCAATAGTTTGGTCAGGAGAACGATCTCAAGTTTGGTCACATTAATGTAAATTCTACTTTCGTGTATTTAACCAAATCTTGAGAAGAATTCAAGTTTTAAATGGCAAAATACAAAATGTGAGCGAATTTTAAAAATACGACTTTTTCATAATTCGATTTCTCATGAATAATTCATCCGATTTAGTTCAAATTTCGCATTTTGCCTTGCAGAACTACAATTCTTAAGATGATGTAAAAAAATTGTATACCTCACAACTCAAAATTTTTTCGACCATTATTTTATAAAATAATAAAAAATAATAAATATTTACTAAAATTTATTAACGAATTTTATAATTGTGTGTAAAAAAATTTTCAATTCGTTTAAAAATTTCTCTAGATATGGCAAAATATGCAAAAAGGGAAATTAGCATTAAGGGGTACAAATTTTGGATCGCTCTCCTGATCAAACAATGGGGACCATATTTCCCAGATTGCGGCTACTACCCATATTTTTGGGGTCAAAAATTTGAATCAGTCAAAGAAAAATTGGACGTTTATTCACGGAAAGTATGTTCCTGTGTCTGATTTCAAAACTTAAAATATCGCCTTCACGAATGAATTGGCATATTTGAATTTATCCCCATGAACTATTAAGATTGAGTCCTAGAACGTGAAGATCTGATCATTAAATCAAAAGTTTTGTCCGTGGTCGGTAAGTTTTCTTTTCCTTATATTTTTTATTTTTTTAATTATTATTATTATTGCTCACTACTGTACTCTATTTTGTAAACCATCTGTATAGCTAAAAAATTTTTTTGCAAGTATTGTTTTTACCAACCTCAACAGTATCGAAAACCATTTCAGCTACCGGAATGAGAGGACCTTTCAACAATGGATTCATGTTATTGAACGCATTCTTGTACAAATCTTGGTACTGTGAAATGTCCAGGAAACCAAGGGGTATGTCTCTATAAGGTAGATGCTCACCACCAATATCTGAAATAATTTGAAACCATGATGTATAGATCAGTTAGGTTGGCAAACGGAATATGTTTAAAAGAGAATTGAGTATAAAACATAGTCATGATACATTTATAGCACTAGAAAAGTTAAAACCAAAGATTTTTTTTTTAAATAAAACTAAAATTTTAGAAAATGTATTTAACTCATGATAAAAAAAATTTAAAAAAAGCCAATTAAAAGAGAGAGATTTTTTCCATCTAGTTAAATGCATTATCAAGTATTTTTCAAAGCCCCAAGTGCCCGTCATTAACCAAAAAGAAGAAAAAAGTATTTTTCTAAGCTCTTTCGCGAATGAGAGTAAGAACGAAACACTTTAAATACCTTAAACATGAGTCAAAATTATGGTTATAAATTACATAAATCACATTGCTACAAAAGTTACACTGGAGAACTTTCTTTTTCTGCTTCATTAGATTTTTTTAACAGTTCTGTAATATTTTCACTTCGCTTATTTCAAACCTGTTATCGCTTACATTTTCTTAAATGACATTTTTAGTCTGTTTTTTTACAAAATGTAACGTTATGTTAAAAACGTTATGTATAACAGAGGGTTGCGTAAATAGTGCAACAAATTTCTAGGGGAGTAAAGGCACATAATCAGGATTAAATTTGCATAAAAACCTTTGCCCGGAAATGTCGTCGTGCGCTGCAATGGTCGCTTACCTATTAAGACTTGTTCAAAAGCACACGGAGAAACAGCTAAAAATAGGGGGAAGTGCCCCTAGAGACGTATGATGACATTTCCGAGCATGAATTCTAATGCAGTTTTAATCCTGATGATGTGCCCTAAATCGCTTAGAAATTTGTCGCAACATTTACGTGACTCCCTGTCATATATGGATGGGTGGTCTAATGTAAACAATAACAAGCGTTCTGAAACCGGAAGAAATTTAGAAAATTTCCGGTGTATCCCTCCGCTTATGTTATGACTACGAGGCGATGTGTGAATGTCGTTCAATAATA